GATTCTTTGTATTGTTTTCTAAAGTCTTGATTTTATTATTTCCATTTTAATCTGTATAATTTTCCCCCTTAATTTGATTTTGTGCCTAACTGGTTTTGTCTGTCTAACTCTATTAAGGTTCCTCATAAGTTGTTTATTTGAGCTTGCTCTATTTTCCTAATGTGAGCATTGACTCCAGTAAACTTTCCTCTTAGGGCTGCTTTTGTAGTACTCTTGAGGTTCTGGTGAGTTGTATAGGCATTGTCATTAACTTTTAAATTTCTCACTTGAATTCTTCTGTGATCTATTGATTGTATTGGAATATGGAATTAATTTTCTGGGTGCTTCTATATTTTCAGCGATTTCTTTTTTTTTTTTTTTTTTTTGGTCTTTTTCTTTTTTATCGGTACCAGGGATCAAACTCATGACTGCCTGCTTGCAAGGCAGGCGCTTATGCTGCTGAGTTAAATCTCCAGCCCCTTATTTTCAGTGATTTCTCCTGTCCTTGATTTCTGTTTTCATTAGTGGTAGTCTTCTTAACAGACTAAATTCTAGAACTTTTTATTTTCCTGTAAATTTTTATTGTTGTTTATTCCTTGACCTTGCAGGGTAAAAATTCATTTTGTCGTTTTTTAAAATCTTTTTCTTTGGTTAGCTTTATACATTTTGTTTTTTCTGTCTAGGCTATTCTTGAGTATTTTATAGAGTGCTAGTTTTGTAGGCATATATATCTTGAGCTGATCTTTTGAATGAAATGTGCTTATTTCTCTATTTTGAAGGACAGATTTACTGAGTATAATAATCTGGTTAGGAAATTGTTTGTTCTTAGGGCTTGAAACACTTCACTCCAAGTTCTTTTGACTGTTAGTTAAGCTTTGGGTTGAGAAGTCGGTAATTCTAATGGGTTTACCTTTATATATGAGCTTTTGTAAAACTTCTTTTAAAATGTTTTTGTTGGATATCCAGCAATTTAATAAAGATTTAATAAAGATATGCTTTGGTGAGCTTTGTTTTTTCATCCTAGTTGTTTGGTGTTGGAAGCTTCACTTGCTGAACTTCTTTCTTATATTTGGAAAACTTTATGCTATGATCGCTGTGAACATATTGATAATTCCACCTGTGTCATTTCTATCTTGTCTGTAACTCTAGTTACCTAGTAGCCGCTGGATGATCTTTTCTTGTCCCGTTATTTGTGTATGTGTGTATCTTCTTTGAGTACTTCTTCATAATTCACCATTCTATCCTCAATTTTGTATGCTCTGTCTTCACATTGGTCATTTCTGCAATTTATGAATTCTGTACAGTTTTTTATTTCAGGCATTTATGCCTTGTATCCTTTTAGTGATTCTATATCTTTAATGACTTTGTCATTCATATTTTGAATTATTTTGGTCAATTTTTCCAAATTTTTACCTATTTTCTCCAAACCCACTTTGAGCATTTTGAGTGTTATTTCCATAAAGTGTAGTTAATTTCCTCTTTAAAGTTGCCTGATTTTTCATCTCTTCTGTAATCTTACCTAAGCATTTGCTTTCTTTTCCATTTGTGTCCCCTTGGTCTACCCTAGGAGAGTTGGGAGAACATGAGGGTCTCCTGTGGCCTTGCTTTCCTCCCATCTGGTATGTATGTGTATCCAACTTTTATTGTTTATGACTCCATGGAAATCCAATGTTGATATAGAGAGAAAACTAATTGTCAGCCACTACTATGCTGCCTTGGCTGTAGTACTAAATGTAGTGACGACGGTGGCATCACATGCCAACCTGCTCTTGATAAGCCCTAGGAACTACTCATGAACAGCCCGGAAGGAGAACCGGAAGCACTTCTGTTTTAGTGAAGGTGATCTGCTGCCCGTATATTTATTTACAGTGGATCAGACTACCAGTTTCTGCTGGATGTAGGCAGCAGTGCCAGAGCTCAATGCACCACCAGACTCCATGCTTCTTCAGGGCTACCCCTTGATGGGTTCACCCTGAAAACCTGGCCTCCCACACCCCAGCATCAGCCCTGTGAACCTCCTGGTCTGGCCCCGGGCCTGTAGGGGATCTCATGGGATCCCTGTTTACTCTCCTCCTCTCTGCTCTGTCTCCCAAGGCTATCTCTCACCTGAACTCTGGTAGTCCTGAAGTGAAACCCTCCTGGCTTGGTCTCTTCTTTAATCGTGTTGATCTTCTGGCTGTCACCTGTGTTGCCCTGTGCTGTGGAGACAGACTGCAGGAGTGGGAGTCAGTGTTGGCTGGGGATAAGGCCCATAGTTGTGGGGTCCTCCTGGTTAGGTGCACTGGTTGGCCCTGGTAGGCAGCATCATCGCCTCACAGGGTTTACATTTAAAGAAATAATGCTTAATTTTTCTGATTGAAAAGGCTGTGATTCCACAAGTAGAGCCACATGTTCCATCAGTGTCTTTGGGTTCAGCAACAGATCCTGCTTTTATCTAGTCAAGGGCAGACCCCAGAGCTCTAACTTAGCTCACACTTTTCCCACATCCCCAGCATATGTACTCATACTGGTTTCCGTTTGCATGGAATACCCTTCTCCATCCCTTTTCTATATATATATATATATATATATATATATATATATATATATGAGTGAAAGTGTCGTGTAGGCAGCATGTAATTAGGCTTTGTTTCTTTACTCATTAACCACATTATATCTTATGACTAGAAAATATTAACCCACTTCAGTAAAAGTAATTCTTAAAAGGTAAGACTTTGCTTGTGAAAGGTCTTTTGTTCTCTTCTTGCTGTCTTCTTTTGTATTTAAGTGATTTTTATCCTATAGATTGTTTTCTGTTTTATTGTTTTTACTGCATTTATGGTTAGAATTTACTTATTGGTGACCATGAAGGTTATAAAATCTTTTAAAGGTTGAACATGTTATTGTAAACTGATAATACTTAACTCTGATGACACACATACCCAAAAGTCCTTTGTCTATAAAATGAATATGAATGAAATTAACTGAGCCTCTTGTCTTTCTGGTGGTTCTCCTTAACCCTTAAGTACACACAGGCTATGGTTGTAGGGAAATAGCTGAGTATTTTCAGCTCTGGTCTGTCTACTGCTTTCACAGCAGGGGAAAGAACAGGAGCTTCTGAAGCAGACAGAGGTGACTTTGGATTCTTCAGCTGCTACTTACCAGCTTTGGGACAGCTTGGAAAGTGATTGTTACACCTACATAACCACCACCCTCTGATTTTAACTGAATGCTTGATGGCCAGACAAAAGAGACAGCCTGGACGCCTGGAAACTGAGTGCTAGGAAGTCTAGTTAAAAGACAGATGAATTAGAGGCTGAGCGCATTCAGAGATGGAGCAGGAGCAGCAGAAAATAAGCCATTAGCATAGTGTGTCCAGCTGTTCAGGATACAGCACATGCTTCCTGTCCTTTGACGACGACCATGTGATTGCCAGCCATATTCACCCTATAAAAATCACATTAACATCATCCTGTACACAGTTCTGTTTTGAATTCAATCTTTCTGTCCAAGAAAGGACTTCTAAAGACCTAGAATCTCTGAGTTTCTCTTAGCTTGTCTATATAATGGGAGTCATAATAAAACTTTCCTTGTAAATTTTCTTGGAAGATTATATGTTACAATGTTGGAAATTCTCCTGCCAAGTTCTGGAAACATAGGAGGTGCTCAACTATTTGTGAGCATTAATTTCCTGCATATTGAGGCTTCCTAAAGAAATCATCAATTTATTATCAAGTCAAATGATATCTGCCACTCTACTCTGTCCATCTAGCCTCTGTAAACACTGCAATCCTGTTAATCTTTCAAAGTGACTGAAACAAAAGAATTCTGTTACCATATAGACTGTTACAAGTAAAGGTGAGGAAGTGAGAGAAAGGTGGAAGGTATTTTTTAGAAGTGATGCCTGTTCAGCTGTCTGTGACCACAGTGCGAAGGAAAACCTTCCTCACCCTCCTGCTGGCTGGTGGAGTAAACACCTAGCATGGCTCTCCACACCTGCATAATTCAAATTGGACAGAGACAACACTAGTGTTTCACTGACAACTCTAGGGAAATACAGAATTTATTGCATCTAATTAAGTAGCTATGTACACTGTAGCTTTCAGGCATCAGTACAACGCTTAAGATTTGAAACAAGTCAAATTCATATTCGTCCTTGAACTCATGACATGAAATACAAGGCAAGACAAATATCTCAATGAGGTTTTTGTTCAGTTTTCCAAAATGATTGTTCTTTAGTCTGTAATTCAAATGTCTACTCACTGCCAAGTCTTTGAGTATTTCAAACAGAATACTCAAAAGAAGCTGAGTTGCTTCCTGTGTGCCTTTTTCCTTTATGAATGAAATTTTAGTTTTATGTGGATTATTTTATTGGTTCTCCATTTTTCAGTAAGTTGGTACTACTACTTATGCTCTATCAGATAAGAAAAAAAACCAAAAAAACCAAAAACCTAAGCCAAAGCCAGTTAAACATTAAGTCCAAATTTGCATAGCTTGTAAGGAAAAGGGTCTAATTTACCCAAGCTCCTGCTGCAGTTGCTGCCCAGATAGCCCCTTGGTGGAGGCAGAGGGCCTCTCTCCCCATCTCATTTGTCCACCCACCTGCAAAGCGAGGTGCCAGTAGATACTGACTAGTATTGTGCACAGAAGAAATGCCAGCACAGTGAGCACCTTTGCTTTGCTATTGGTGTCTGTTTCTCTGCTCCAAAGGAGCATGCTGGAGCTATCAGCATTTCCAGAATCTTGCTCTTAGTTCATTACTCACACTCCTTACAGTTTTATCCTCACTGTACCTTGTGGATTCAAAGTTGTAGTGAGTGAAGACAAAGGAGAAGAGAACTTTAATCTAAGTAGCGCTGGGAGGCGGAATAAGATAAGAGAGGATGTAGGGAGGGGAAGAATAACAGGGGGGAAGAAAAAGAGAGGCAAAGAGGCAAAGTATAAGGAAGTGTTTTACTTAATAAAAAAGTCAAAGTTTTCTGTGCAATTGATGTGTCACAAGTCAGTTTTGAAAGATAGTTCTGTCTCTTTTTCTTTTTGACTTGATTTGAATGAGAATACACTGATAGGCGTAGCTGAAATGCCAGATCACGTGTGTGAAACTGGCTGTTACTTAAGCAAGCTGAACACTTGTGCAACACTTTTGCTTTGTGTACTGGAGCAGGAAAGAAGCCCAGGAATTCATCATTCTGACCTGCAGAGGAGACAAAAACAACGATGAGTACTGCAGGAAAAGTAAGCAAAAAGATTTTACTTTTGGAAGTATATTCTCATTCATGATACATAAAATGATACAGTTTTGACGAGTAATATAAAATCAACATCTGCATTAGAAATAATTTACAGTGAAATATAGTGTACAGTATATACTATGTGATGAATACTGGACTATAACAGAAATAAACTATCCTTGAATATCATTAACCAGAATGTAAGTAATCTGGACTAATGAAGTAGTATTTCCTCCTTTGAATAACAGTTTATTAGTGTTCGTTTATTCCAGACTAACTGTGACTGATTTGTAAGTGTAACATTAGAAAAGTCTTTATTCAAAGTTGTCTTTATATTAATAAACATTAATTTAAATAATATGTGCCTTTATAATCATACTCTTCCTATGAATATATGAATATTAAGTTTTGGAGGAGATACATTAGAGGAATTCAGTTCAGAGGACTTTCTAGAGAAATCTTATAAAACAGTAATTTCTCCAAACAAAAGTCAATCAGATTTTGTGGAAAATTAGTACTGAAAAACTTGAAGCACTTGTTAACACTGGGAACATGGATATTTGGTTCTATTTTTATGAACTTTTTTGTTTACTGTATTTAAAGAACAGAGAGCAGCATGCAGCCATTCAATATAATTAATTCATGCTATTTAGTTGCTTAATTTCAAAAGCCTGGGCAACCCTCCTCAAGACAGTTGCTGTGTGAGGAAAGAGTCACTCCATCTAGCACCTTGTTATGTGAACTCTCTCCACAGTTCTGAGGTGTCAGACACAGTGTGACAGAACAATGTCACAAGACTTGCTGGAAATGACACATGTGGCTGGGTGTCAGTGTTCTTATTCTACCTCACATTACTGGATAGTAATTATAATTTCAAAAGAAAAGTGGTTGTAAAAATAGAAATTAAATTCACCAATAATCAGTTAAAAGGAAATAGTGAATTCCCAGAACAAAATATATAAAAGCACATCAGGGAAAATAATAACTGAAGTGATAAGCCGTCAGTCTTCTCAGATCGCTTAGCTCCGTGGCAGCCCTTCTCATGTACTCCTCTTCTTGCATTTTGTTTTCCTCCAACACTAAATGATGGTGGAAATATCAGTCTCATGAAGAAGTTGAGCCAATTCACTAAATTAGTGTTACAAAGCATATAGAAGGGTATCTTTTCATAGAAATTAGTCACTACATGTTAGTTACTATTGTTATCATTGTTTTTATTTTAGTTTTGTTACATGGTGGCAGAAGAAAGGTAACACTGGATTGATCTCTGTTCTGGAAACATTAATCCGAACAATCAAAGAAGAGAGAGAAATATGAAGAATAAGGATAGGAAATAAAGAAGTTAAATTATCATTATTTGCAGATGGCATGATACTCTACATAGAAGACCCCAAAAACTCCACCAAGGGATTCTAGATTTAATAACAAAATTTGGTAGCAGAGCTGCATACAAAGTCAACATTCAAAAATCAATAACATTCCTGTACACAAACTCACTGAGAGAAAACTTAGGGAAACCACACCACACCTTTCACAACAGTATCCAAAAAATAAAGCGATTAGGAATCAATCTAATGGAGGCAGTAAAACACAAACAAACAAACAAACCAAAAACACCTTTACATTGAAAACTACAGCACTATGAAAAAGGAGGTTGAAGAGAATATCAGAAAATGGAATGATATCCCTTGCTCTGGGGTAGGAAGAACCAACAGAATGAAAATAGCCATACTTCCAAATTTGTTATACAGATTAATGCAATCTCAATCAAAGTTCAAATGGCGTATCTCACAGATACGCCATTTAGAGAAAACAACCACATAATCCATTTGGAACCAGAATAGCAAAATCAAACCTGGGCAACCCAGGCAAGGCAGGGACCCACAATTTCTAACGTGAAATTATACTGAGAAATTCTGATAAACTCAGCATGATACTGGAAAAAAAAATAGACCTGAGAGTCAGAGGGACAGAGTAGAAGATGAAGAAACAACTCCAAACATAGCATGTTATCTTTGGCAAAGGAGCCAAATACCTTCACTGGTGCTGGAAAAACTGGAAAAATCATTCAACTGTTGAATCAATTGAATCTCAACATTTTCATCTCTGAAATAAAGCAGTTCACCATTGCTTTCTCAGTAGCATGGGCCACACTGTGCCTGTCAAAACTAAGGTCCCCAATAATCAGGACCTATGCGTTATTAGTTTATCATTTCCAAGTATCTCATTTTTATTTTTGGATTGACTATTGTGCACATTCTGCAAACAGATTTGACAAATAAATAGTGAACATCAATTGTCAGAAGAACAAATCCCAACTGAATTTTCCTATCATATTTACAGTTATGCTAATTCTCTCTGAAAAAGGGCCCTTTTACTTGCACGTTTTACCACAGTAAAGACAGGTTTTATGGTTTATTTGTAAACACTGAAAACATGCATTCATATTTGAGGAACATTCATGTGGAGGATGAGATATCAAGAAATTCAAATTGGTAGTTTTCTAGTCAGTTTTGAAATAGGTACGTGTGGATAAAAGTTTAATGCATGCACGCACGCACACACACACACACACACACACACACGCACACACACTCACACTCACATAGCTAATACCTCTGCTACTACTACCTTCACCTCTGTAATTTTAGCCTAACTCTAGTCTGGAAATGGCCCAAAACAGCCTGTCAAAGCTGTTTCACAGTAGTAACATAAGAAAAAGTCACACAAAACTGGTACTGAAAGAAAATTCCAGAGGAGACATAAACAAACATAAAAAGGAGAAGTCATCCTTTGCAGAAAGCTTAGTATGAGGTTATTTTAAAATTGGGTCCTGCACTTGGGAGGCTGAGACAGGAGGATCACCGTGAGTTTGAGGGCAACCTGGGCTACATAGTGAGTTTAAACCAAACTGAACTGCATAAGGAGACCTGTCTCAGAAAAAAATAAATTAGTAAAATGAAATCAGTGCCTTTCACGCATGGTGGCTGTAATTCCCAGCATTCAGGAGGTTGAGGCAAGAGGATTGCTGAGAGTTTGAGATAAGCCTGTGCTACATAATAAGTTCAGTGGGCTCAAGGCCAGCCTGAAGTACATAGCAAGATCTTGTTTCAAAAAAATCAGGTCCTTTCAGCTTTTGGCTTATGTAGAAAATTTTGCAAGGGAGAAACAGACATTATATGAGCAGACACTGCCACTGTCAGTAAAGTAATGATAATTAAAACTTTATGTTTATGTTGTAGATAAACCACCAACTCCAGGATAGCAATAAGGAAGTATCAGGAATACTGATGTCCTAAAACCTTTTGAGAAGAACAACATAAGGATAGTTTAAAAGAATGTGTTCTGTTTCATCTCAATATCTTATAAAGATAATTATATTTCTCTATCATTATTCTACTGCTTCTCACGTTTTTAAAGACATTTTATTCTATAAACCAGAAGTTTTATTTCTGAAGAGAATGTGTTAGAAATGGGCGTGGGGCTAGATGTTGCATGTACAAAGGTGAAGAGATACAATCATTGGTAGCATTTTTTGGTCTGATTTTCCAGGTCATAAAATGCAAAGCAGCAGTGCTGTGGGAGATACAGAAACCCTTCTCCATTGAGGAGGTGGAGGTCGCACCTCCAAAGGCCCATGAAGTTCGTATTAAGGTGAAAGCTTTTCTATTTCTATTTTATTTTAGATTTAAGAACTCAGAAAATTTCAGATATTTCTGTGGTGTTAATCTATAAATTTGGTTTCCATAAAAAAGTATGCATTCTTATATATTACATAAAGCAAACATTTCAGGCTCACTCATTTTGCAGGATTAATTATTCTAAATTGTTTAATTCAAAAAAAGAAAGGTTGAGCGTTTTAGATATGTTTGAGGATAATTAACTGTTTTGTATTTGGAAAGAGATGGATTATAAACAAGACCTTGGAACCCTTTAGAAGCAAAACTTCAGGAACTTGACTATGTTAAATCTCCTGAGAGGCAGGGTTATTTCTGGATCTGATTGCCTGCTCTTTCATTTGTAGATGGTGGCCACAGGAATCTGTCGCTCAGATGACCATGTGGTCAGTGGAAGCCTGGCAGCTCGTCTTCCTATGATTGTGGGCCATGAGGGTGCTGGCATAGTGGAGAGCGTTGGAGAAGGGGTGACTTCAGTAAAGCCAGGTATAGAATTCACATCCACCATGTGTGATATGGTTCTTGAGGCCAAGATCATCCAGGCTGGATCAGGAACTGCAGCATCTGAGAAGTAAAAGCTCACACAGGGTGGTGGATGAGCTGGGAATCCAGAGGTGGCCCCTTTCCCTTTCTCTCTGCCTGATTCAGACATGCTACATGCAGATGACCATGTATTTTCTCCTTCAACAATTATTTATTGAGTTTGTAGTCAATGCCACGCACCGGATTAGGGCAGGGTGTCCATGAGGATCACAAGCACACAGGGCCAGCCCCAAGTGGAGCACATGTTCTAATAACCGTATCAGTGCAGCAGATCACTGCCTCTGTTAAGACCCAAACAGAACTACAAATGGGACAAGGAAAATACATAATAAGCCTGTGTCCTGATCTCTGGATTAGTATGTGAAACTGTTCTATTCTGACATCACAAAATGGGGCTGTGATGCAGTGACTGAGTCAAGATCTCTGGTCAGGTGGGGAGTGGACCTGCTTACCACTTCCTCTCCACTATGGCTGCCTTGCTGATCACAAAACGGTCACAGCACTGCAGAGGGCAGGAAATGAAAGAAACAGAATGGGAAGCATGCAGACACAAATGTCATTTTTAAAATGTTACTTATTACTCCTTACAAATTAATAATTGTTTGATTTCAATGCACAATCCTAATTTTATTATGTGGCATTGTATTTTCATAATGAATTAGCAAAACATTTCCATACCATCATCTTCACATAATGTTTGTTTATAAAATGTGATAGTCCAACAACTTTTCTTAGTTTTACTGAAAAGATAGCCATATGATTAAAAAGACAAATTTTATTTAATTCTAAAATATCAGTTTAGCCAATAGATCATTCTCTCTCTCTTTTCCAAATATTTTGTTAAACTCCAAACAGAAAATAAATAGTGTAGTTTTTGTTTGAAGTCATGTTATTTTCTTTAGTTAGAATAAATTTATAATATGTGTCAATTTTTCTTTTGCCCTGCCCTATCTACAGCAGGAATAATAGATTTTTAAAAATAAATTAGTAGCTAAAATTATTTGAATTTCAGTTACTATTCTAAAAGAAAGTACCTGATTTATTGTTAAGATTTTCAGTGGGATCTCTTGAATTCTTTTGTATCATTTTTGTTAGTTTTAGCCTAAAAAAACCATGACTTTTAAAAGCTGTCATTTTATAATGAAGATAAGCATATACTTGAAAGCTAAGAGTAATGATCACACTTTGCATTTTTTAATGTAATCAATGACTGAATCTTTATAATTTTATTGAAATAATTACATTTACTTTTATTTAGTTTTATTGTATAAAATTTGTGAAAAACATCTCATCTTCCAGTACCTCATAAAAATTATATTTGCACTTGCAATTATAAGATTTAAGGTTTCATTAAGAATTTAATGCAATCATGCATAAAGTTTCCAAGTACAATCAGTGTACACAATAACGTTAACTATTAATATAGTGCAAATAATGTTTAATCCATGTTGTTGTCTACACCTTCATTTCCTCCTTGGATATCTTCAGACACAGAATCCAAATGGATAATAATGCTGAAGGCAATGACCAGTGATATTCTTCTGACTGGAGTCTATTTCTTTGAGAAATTTTCAAAGACACATGCTGCTATGTGTAAGCTTTAAATTCTTCATTTATTAATTCTCAGGTAGAAACTAAAAAAATATTTATTATATTTCCCTTCCAGGTGATAAAGTCATCCCGCTGTTTACTCCCCAGTGTGGAAAATGCAGAAATTGTAAACACCCAGAAAACAACCTCTGTTTGAAAACTGAGTAGGTGTATTTCCCTTCCTTTGCTCTGCTGATGAGGTTTCACATTAGTTGTGCTGTGTCTCACATCCTTTGTGTGTTTGTCTCACTAGTTTGTCAAATGGTTCAGGCACCCTGCTAGATGGCACCACTAGGTTCACCTGCAGAGGGAAGCCCATCTACCATTTCCTGGGCACAAGCACTTTCTCTCAGTACACAGTGGTGGATGAGATCTCCGTGGCCAAAATCGATGCAGCTTCACCCCTGGAGAAAGTCTGCCTCATTGGCTGTGGATTTTCTACCGGTTATGGCTCTGCAATCAATGTTGCCAAGGTAGGCGTGGCAGTGGCCAGGGATGCCAGGAACAGTCAGCCTGCCAGCAACCACAGGAAAGCAGTTCCTCCCAGGGTCCAATGATTATTTCATAGATTTGTGGGGTTGATAATTTAGGGAAAAGTAGGGCTGCTGAGGGGAACAGCCAGATGCCAGCCCCTTCCAGTATGTGGGCTGGGAAACAAGAAGAGCCAGTCCCCCGCCCCACCCCATACCTACCCCATAAGTGACCAGCTGATCTGGAGAAACATAGGCTGCTACGATAGCTATTGAGGTAAAATATAATTTGGTGCTTGCAATTTGGTGTTCCACTGACTTTGCGAGTCTAGGGGCTGGTAGTCTGGTCATCTATTCAAGGGATAACAGTATGCAGTGTGGCATCTGTTGGGAATCTCCTCTAAAGGTGATGGCCATTGTTAATTCCCTATCTTCTTGTTTTGAAGTCCTATATCATTTTCATTGTTTTGTTGAGTTGGGTTGTATTTCTGTTTTGTTTTGTTTGATTTTGTTATATCCAATGGTATGGGCAGCTATTTCAAAGATAACAAGATATATTATGGTAGCCATTTGGGATTTCGTCTTGTTTTGAAGTCCTTTACTGAATTCATTGTTCTGTTTTTAATGGTTCTATTCTGTTCTATTTTATTTGATTTTTACTATGTCTGAGGGTTTCTGTAGCTATTTTGAAGACATCAAGAGGCATTAGGTAACAATTGTTGATTTCGTATGGTTTTGAAGTCCTGTGTCACTTACACTGGTTTCTTTGGATTGCTTTTATTCTGTTTTATTTTACTTGGTTTTATTATCTCTAAAATAAAAGTTTTAAAAAAGGGTATAGAAAAGGAGACCCAGAAGGAAACCAAAAACCTGTCCTATGAAATTCACCTGTTCACCACAAATAAAAGTGGTGTTGATAATTAGGTAATGAAAAGTAAAAGTAAAGATTTCATTTTTAATACCTATTTGCTTTCATGAGAATACTGAGTTGTAGATCTTGGGACTCATCTAGTCATTCATTCTACAGTTAGAGTACAGAGATGCACATGTCAGGACAATAGGTTCTGCTAGGTTTGAGGGAGCCAATGTAAATAGCATGTAGGATTTTTTCTACGGCAATTTTAAAAATTAGGAAACAACTAGGCCTGCCGTCCCAAGCTCCAAGCCAACATTTTCCTCCCTATCTGATCCCAGTGAGGACAGCTTAAGATAAACTTGCCTCCTGTCACTGATAGCCAGGCACCAGCAGCTCTGGCCCATGAAATAGCAAGTGACTAGTGACTCTAAAGGTTGTTTTTAAGAGCAAAAAATGTCTGTCTATGCTGTGTCCAGCAATCAGGTAAACTGTTTTCAAAACCTTACTTGAAACAACCTCTGATCAAGGGTCATCTACTCTGTAAACATAATCAAGCATCCCATTTCCACCACTCATTATGAGATTTCAGTGCTCTCTCCCTGGCTCCAACATACATACAGCAGAGTGCTATGTGTTAGTAGAAATTCATTATAGACTCCTCTTCCCAAAATGCTAGAGCATCATTTGCTTTACAAAATAGATCCAGACACATAGTTGTTTACCCACATTTTTACAGTTGGAAAATATTTGATCTGAGACTAGAATCTCTTCTGAAATTTTTATTTGAACTCATGACACAAAATTATTAGCACTTTTAAATCACACTTACGAGCCCTGTATTTTTATGTTGAAAATGGTGTCGTATCTCATAGTATTTAAACACATTTGGTGAAGCAATGAGTGGGTAGTCCTCCTTAAGGGAATTTCACAAGGAGTTCACTTGGGCATCAGTATTTTATCTACTGAAGGCTGACTACAGAAGACTGGGCTCATGTAACAGCCACAGCCAGTGTAAGCCATGCGGAGCATGTGCAGAGCATGTCTTTCCAGGTCTAATTGCTGCTCAGTGGCCTCATTAGTTGTAAAAGGTAGTCTAACTGAGCCTACATCAAACAGAATCAGAGGATGCTCAGGGAAAAAGCTTCAATATTATTAAAATATGAACTAATTTTTGCATTATTTTTCATTAATTTATTTTAAATAACAGGGATAAAAACCCGCAATCATTATTTTGGTTTCAAGTATTAGTTTCTTGAAGTCATATGTTGAATTTCTCCTGTTTAGGTTTTTTATTACAACAAAGATGCATCTTACATGCTTCAGAGCTATTTTCTGTTCTCATTGCATTGCTTATGTCTACCAAAAGTTACTGAACTGAGCAAGGATTTAATTATTGATAGTGTGATTAGATTATAGCTTAGTTGGCTGGAACAACCTCATTCATTTGTATCCTATTCCAAAAATTGTTTTTGTGTATATATCAGAAACTGAAGCGATCAATGGATCTGATTGTATTGGTCACTGATTAGAACTCAGAGATTATCCAATCCACGTCCCAGTGGTATACACTGGACTAACCTGTCAGGGGATTTGCTTTAATTGGAATGCGCTGTGGCAAGCACTCAGATGAGGCTTATGGACAGTCAAGTTTGAGAACCACTGGTTTAGTTCAAGTCCCTCAATTTAAACATGAAGTAACTATAGCCAAAAGAGGCTTGGTGGCAGGTTGACATGAAGTGTAAGTAGCTACCGAGAGCAGACAAGGCCTGGCACTTTATATGGCTTAGGCACTTTCTGACAATCACTATCAACTTGCTTTTGCATTTTCCACAAATGTAGGTCACCCAGGGCTCCACCTGTGCAGTGTTTGGCTTGGGAGGAGTTGGCCTCTCTGTTATCATTGGCTGCAAAACAGCAGGAGCAGCCAGGATCATTGCTGTGGACATCAACAAAGACAAATTTGCAAAGGCCAGAGAGTTGGGTGCCACTGAATGCATCAACCCTCAAGACTACGATAAACCCATTGAGCAGGTGTTACAGGAAATGAGCAATGGAGGTGTGGATTTCTCCTTTGAGGTCATTGGTCGACTTGACACCATAGTATGTACCAAAATTTACTTTTATATCTTACCTTCTGCAATCTAAAATATGTTTGTAGGCAGTACAATGTAAATATTACATGTAAACATATTTTAGAAAGAATATCCTGCTTGTTACTTGGATTGTTAAATTAAGGGTTATGAGAAATCCTTCATTCCATAAGGTAGGAATCCTTCATTCCTTCATTCCCTAATATTTCTTCTTTATTGATGGAAAATGTTTATCTTGTAAGGGAGCCATTACCAATTCATTACCTTGATTTGTAGTAAAAACAGTTCAACAAGAAAATATAAATAACACAAATTCTATACTGAAGGTAGCAAACTTGATTTTCAAATACATTACTAACAAATGTAGTTTAAATTTTTTTTACAGGTACATTTCAATAAATTTTGAAAACTACCCAAAAGAAATAATGGATAAAGTCTGCTACTAATAGAAAATATATCCTAAGGAAGACACTTGCATTCATGAGTTGCTATATTTTACCACAGCCAAACCACCATGCCTGGCACAGAGCAAGCTGAAAAATCTCTGAAAAACAACAGTGTAGTATCACATCCCTTTCCCCCCAAGAATAATGTTTATCTCTAGTACTGTTACGGATTACATGAGTGAATGCCTATGAAATGTTTCTCGAGATGCCATCTGTCACAGGTTGAGCTCTGGATTAAAGTCTGCTGGGACATTAAGATGAAATGCTATTTCCAAGTTTGCAGTGCTTACATCACTCTTGGAATTTATGAGATATTACTTTCACACTATTTGAAGTATTAGTTGCCATGGGGAGAATGCCTCTCCGTCCATGTTTCACCTAACCAGAGTCCTCTGGAACTCTGTGAATTAAGTCCCTTGAGGCCAGAACACCCCATATTTGATTTGGTTCTCCAGGGAATCCCACCTGTGTTGCTATCACAGAACTGCACCTCCAGTGAAAAGCTTTTATAGTTTTGGTCTGGAATAATATATCATATATGATGGCTATTCCAAGAAAATCTAACTTGTTCCGAGGCATTAGCTTTCCTTGTTATGCTCTCTTTGTTCATGTAGAGCTGCACTGGTCCTTTATCTGAAGACTCCAAAAGACTGACATTTTCTGAGGATATCTACTTTTTCAGATTTCATACTTCAAAATCAAAAGCCCAAATCAATTATATATCTTGGGAGATTGTAAACCACCCTTAAAAGGAACATGTTCAAAATACTGCCTTGAGGACAGGCTTTTGGGACTGCCTTTTTGGATTCTAGAATAATGAATATAGTTTAAAATAAAATCAGGATATATTCTAGGAAAGTAAAATGTAATTTAAAACATGTCCTTTTTAGTAATAGATAATAGAGGAATCTTTTATAAACAAAAATTACAAAACCAACAAGAAAGAAATTGTGAAAGGTAATAGTTATGTCTTTTTCACTATCAAAAGGCATGATTGAGAGAAATGAAAAATGAACTCTTATATTACCTGAGAATTATGATAAAACAACCGGCAACCTCTCTGATAACCCAGACTTTACATATTAGTAACAATATTTGACCCCTTACATATTTATAAGGAAGACATTCATTCATCCATTCTTTCATGCAAAAAATGTTTTATAGGCATTTTTCAAAGCAACAGTGCTAGATTCAAGAGAGAGTAAAAGAGTAAAAGATACACTTTTTTTTTGTTCCACACAGTTACAGCCTAAATAATTAAATTTTATATAATACTGTGTACCATGAGTAGGGTGGTCAGAAATCTACTATGAGGGTGCTAAATATGTATTGGTATTTTTTCTAGGCCTCTGCCTTGCTGTCCTGCGAGCAGGGATGTGGTGTGAGCGTCATCGTGGGGGTCCCTCCTAATGCTAAAACTCTCTCAGTTAACCCCATGCTGCTGTTGACTGGACGCACCTGGAAAGGAGCCATCTTTGGTGGTAGGTAGTAAACAGTGAAGACCAAATTTGTATTAACCTCAGAATTTTTTCCCTTTTATAAGTGAGAAGGTCATGTTTTTAAAAACACCATGGTTAAAAAGCAATTAAAATTCCTGTTTTATTGATAGCATCCAAAACTGTTGGATATGGAACAAATGCAGAGAGAAAGCCCCAGGACAGACTTCTGGGGCGCTCAGACTTCTCTGGCACACATTTATGGAATAAATGTAGACAGTAAGCAGGAACTGGCAGTACCAGCTCTTTTCATGCAGGTGAATGCAGATAGCACTACATGTTCTAGTAGGACACACACAGGAAGTGCAGAGCAGAGCTGGCATCCATACTCTTTGCTCCCTTTTTAAAATTTTTTTTATTTTAAAGAAATTAAGATAAAAAAGAATATAACAAAGCAGATCAGAACAGAACAATTTAAGCAACATAGTATTTCACCACAAGACAACTCGATACAACGGGAGCTACCATAGGGTCTCTTTTCTTCAAGTAGTTGTTGCTCACTTTGAAGCAACTGTAAATTTGTTCCTTGATTTGGGGCAGTCACATAATTTCTCTACAAAAGAACTAATAAGGATTGTATGGCTAGTTATGGCCCTAGTTTATTTGAGGCATTAAAAACACTGCGAAGCGATGTGGAAGCCCTCCATCTCATACTTCTCAGTCTGCAGAATGCAGCACTTTTTGTAGCTTCCGTTTACCTTTACTTGAAAGTCTCCTCTCTGGGTCTCCTGCGTATCCCAGTTGAATCTAAGAATGCTGTCTGCATTTTCAGGTTTTAAGAGTAAAGATTCTGTCCCCAAACTTGTGACTGATTTTATGGCAAAAAAATTTCCACTGGATCCATTAATAACCCATATTTCACCTTTTGAGAAGATAAATGAAGGATTTGAGCTGCTGCGCTCTGGAAAGAGGTAAAATTTAAGTTTCTGTTTATAGTAGGGGATCAGCTGACAGAGAGTGAGAAATGAGGCGGGAGTGAAAACGGAAGCACTGTGGTTTTCCACCGTTAGTTCAATCTTTGCACATGGAACACCTAGGGCCTCGTGGTGGGAAGTAAGGCACAGCTGTGAGGTACCTTCTGTCTTGCTGAAGCCAATTTATGTTGCTGTAGAACAAACCTGACTAATGAGAGCCAGCCAGCTTCTGCATGACAGACAGCACACTACTTTTTCCAGAGAAATCATCAGAATCACAAAATCATAATTAGACTGTGGAATCAGTGAAGTCTTCGAGTGACCACTAAATGCTGACCACATATAAGTGTCACTGTTATACAGAAAGCCCCCTACTTACAAACATTCAAGTTGCACACTTTCACACATTCCCAGATACCAATGGACTTTGCATTGTGAACGTTCATAGATGCAAACAAATCGCAGAAGCTCAGATATCTGGTGCACACTGTCACAGCCATGCTGCTGTGTGTTTTCTGCACAGCATGACAGTGCACAGCAGTACAGCACAGTGAGGGACTTAATGTAGATGTGTGCGTTAGGTTTTTTATGCTTTATATTGTATATTTGTGGCAAAGGTGTATAAGACTCTCTGTGTCAGACTTATGAATGAACCTAGTTTACAAGTCAGGGGCTTACTTTCAGGACTTCCCTAAACTTTCATTAAAAGAACACGGAGAATAACACTGATCTTTTTCTATACAGCTGTTACTAAGTTTTCCTATCAGAGTACTATTATTATTTCTTTTTGTAGTTTACAAAGAAGTTGTCACAAAGAAAGTTATGGTAAAGACATGGCTCAAATGCTATTTTAAATGGTTCAGTCTTCCACTTGCTCCAAAGATAGGATAAAAAAGCTAGTATAGTCTACTTTTGACATTGCACTTAACAATCACCTAACCAAATCATCTGGTGTCTGCAGTTGTATGTGTATAGGTAGTAATAATTGCATATAGCCCCTCTGTGTAGCCCCAGAGCACAGGCATTTCTGCTACTTACCCTTCTCGTGAGTTTTATGTCCTCACATAAAATACTGTATCAGATACTTCATCGGACACATATTCCTGAGGGAAGAAAGAAACTGACAACCACGGGAGCACCGGCTGCTTTTCTTACAGCCCACCTGCATTACTTCCCGTGCTTGCCAAACCATGATGATTACTAGACTCAGCCGCACCATTCTGGGGGAGCATTGAGGTGCTGTGAGAACATGGCTTGGCTGAAATCATGCCAGCCATAGTCAGAGGAGACAGAATTCAGAGCTACCATAGCAGTGCTTCTTAGCTTGTTTTCCATGAGACTATGTGGGCTTTTGTCGTTAAAGAGTTATGCATGGTTATTGCTGAATGTTAGTTATTGTTATCATCATCCTCAGGGTGAAGGGAATAATGGAAATATAGAGAAAAATCAGACATGCTGAGCAACAAATGAATTCAGTAAAATGCTTGTCTTCTTTATGAGGATATCTAATATTCAAATATGCATATTTAAGTAAAATAAACCCTATAAATTAGCAAAAATTAAAAATTATACTGTATAGAATTGGTAAGGATATAATGACCTGGCCACTTTCATGTCATGCTTATAGGAATTTAATTTTTATGACATTTGGGAAACTAACTTTTAATTTTATTTTTAAAAATCTAGATTTTTTTGTCCAAATAATATGAAAATAATTATGGAAACATATTTATATGTGTGTTTGTACATATGTAACTGTTATTTGTAGCATCAAAATTAGAAATATCCTAAAAGCCCAACATTAATGGAACTCTTAAATTCCAGCTATATATTAAAAATCAGTGAAGATCTTTAGAAATGATTTTATTACATTAGGAAATTCTCACAGTATTATTTTTGACTCATAAAATACAAAACCCAATTTTATACAAAAAATCAGGGATTTCAAGAAGAATACATATATGTCTAGGAAAACATTGACAAAATTTCCAAAAAAATCCACAATGGAACAATGGTTACCTCCAAACTGGAACAATGGGTTGTTTTTACTTTCATTTTTACACTGCTGTACTTTTAGTTATCTGCATGTATTTTTACATCTGTCTAAACACATGTATGTAATGTATATTATATGTCTCATACATTGTATGTATCACATGTATTATATTATTTGCAAAAATATCCACCTGGAGGATATATAGAAAGGACATTATTTCCCGTATAAATGTCAATTTCCAATATTCCCAAGGATGAAGTTTCTAATAATTATATAAATCAACTTTATTTTCTAATTCTATAACTCCTTAAACATCTCCATATCAAAGTTTTATTTAGCCTTAACGTGATTGCAATTTTATTAAACCATGAGTTCCTCCAGGTAAGCTATTTGTTATCTTCTAATTTGGACAACTTTATATTTGGGTTTTGATCCTGGGCCCCACCTATACTAGTTGTGTGATTAAAGACAAGTTCCAAATCTCTAAATCTCACTTTTTATAATCTCTGGCATGGAAATAACATGAGATCCTATCTCATAAAATTATTGTTTAGTTTGAGTTTTAAATGAAATAATACTTGAAGAAAATCAATAAAGAATATGACAAATAGCAACAACATTTTATATGTTATTACCCACTGTTGTTTTATTTTGCTCATTATGCTAGGCATGGAGGGTCTAAAAGTGATTTTCAAAGGGTAGTAATGTAGAATTGAAGTCTACATTGCAGTCATATATGGATGTTATGAATGAGTTTGAGATTGGAGAAAACAAAAGAGAACCAGAAAAGTAAAAATCACCGTTAGGCTGACTTGGTTTAATCCGCAGGGATAAGGGGTGGGGGGGTGGATAGGAGCACACATAATCTTCACTGAGATACAGTTGCATGGAGAGTGAGAATGACCCAAGTGTTGAACAATCTTTTGCTTTCTCCCTTAGTATCCGCACTGTCTTGACATTTTGAGATGATGCAGATGCCTTCTCTTCAATCGGTTCCCGACTCCTCACATCAGATCATTTGAATCACCAGGCACACATTATTAACTATTTTTTAGCAATGTGATCAATAAATCTCCATTGTATTTGTTATTTGTGTTTGCTTTATGAATACCATGATTCTAACAAAAAATTCTTTAAGATATTAAAAAAATGCTTTACAAGGTATAATAGATTATTTTAAGCTTATAACACTTGAATCACACACAAAGCCAAATCTACACATTAACTCCATCATACCTATTTTGATTTTTGTTGACACAATTTGCATCTTTTATATTATATATTCTTTAACAAATTACTGTGACTGATGTTGTTAATAGTTTTGTCTTTTATGCTTCATAATAAATACATTATATAGTGCCATTACAGCATTAGAGTGTTTTAATTTGAATATGTACTTACTTTTTCCAGTTACTCCTATGCATTCAGATGTTGTTGTGTTACTCATTAACATGCTTTCTTTTGACTTGGAGAACTCCTTTTAACAGGTTTTGTTAAGACAGTCTGCTGATGAACTCCCTTAGGTTTTGGTTGCCCGGGATTCTCTTTATTTGCTTATTTTTGAAGAACGCTTTGCTGGTTATAACATTCTTGGTCACCAGTTATCTTCCTTTAGTTCTTTAAATATACACTTTAACCAGGCCTTTAATGACTTTGCTGGCAAATCTGCTGGTAGCCATATTGAAATTGCCTTGTATGCTTTTAACTCTCTCTATGTTCATGATGCTTTCTTTGTCTCCAAACCAATGTTTGGAGTTCAAATTCAGTATAATATGTTCTGGGGTAATCATTTCTAAACTGCGTCTGATTAGAGATTTTTGACCTTTATGTATCTGGATATTTATATCTTTCTCCAGGTTTGGAAGGTTTTTATACTACAATGTCTTTAAATTTTATACTTTATTTTTCTCTCCTTATTCTTGAAATTATATGACTTGAAAATGTGCTATTTTAATGCTGTCTCATAAATTCCATAAGCTTCCTGTATTCTTTGACTTTTCCGTCTCACTGCCTCTACACAAGTAAGTTCTCTTCAAACTCACAGATGTTTCTAGTCAAGCTTGCTGTCGATGCTCTTTTGCAGTTTTCACTTCACTTATAATATCATTTTAATTTCTCTGTTAAATGTCCCATTCTGGTGATTTATTGTTTGTGTCCTTTCATTGAATTGATTTTCTCTGTTTTGTTGAAATTTGCTGGCTTTCTCACACAGTGCTATTGAATTCTTTGTCACACATTCCATATGTCTCTACTTTCTTAAGCTAGTCACAGGCACTTCAGTTTGACTTTTTTCATGGTGTTCTGTTGCCCCAATTGTTCTTGATCTCTGTGGTTGTGCATTGGTGTACGCAAGTGTGAAGAACTAGTACTCCTAGTCTTCATAGATTGGCTTTGTCTGAGGAGCTCCTTCAGAAGTCAGCCCATCCAGAGGTTCTGGTAGCCTGCCTTACAGAGTAAGGTCTTATTTCTTTCTTTTTTTTCAAGTTATGTTATGTCTTTAAAAAATTTTTAACTTTATTTTTAAAAAAAGCAGAAAAAAGGATAGAAAATGTACAGAATTTCAAAAAAGTAAGGAATTAACACTACTTAATATATTGCATTGTTACTGCGGAACTAGTAAGTTTAGGTTTTAAAACCTAGCTACAAAATTGATAATCAGTGACAGCACAAACTGTTCTTTTTGATGAACTAAGAGAGATTAGTCATATAGTTATCTGTCTAAAATACATATAGATAAATAAATTTATATATGTTTACAAATATATATATATATATATATATATATATATATATATATATATATAATTTTTCCTTCCTTCCTTTCCCCTATCTCAATAGTTCTGTTCTTTGGAGCATTTTCTTGCCCTTTCATTATTACAATATCTATTATACGTTTTGAATCTTATTACTCTTTCAGTTTATTATTATTATTAATTTTTTACATGAGAAACTATGATTTTTACAAATATGAGTCTAATTTATTTCACTTATGAGTATATGAACTGATGGACCTTATCCATTTTTATTTAGCAGGTGGGTAAGTTTGGGGTCTGGATTCCTTTGGGAGCACTCCTATTGATTGAGAGTATGGGAAGGATCTAAAAACTGTATCTTCAGGGACCTTCCTGAAGCATATATTGACTGGACCAGTATGCTGCTAGGCATGCCTGAGGCCTGACTAGGTCTTTCTTAAATAAGTGTTTCTATAAAAAGTAGAGCAGGTTGGACTCTGGTGTGAGAATAGAGATGGGCTTTGTAGATGTTGCAACCCACAAAGAATTCTAGGAATAAAAGACACAGGCTGAAGAGTATGGAAAGAAAATGTGCTTGATGTTTAAGGATTCTTTTGATTATCTCACTTCTCATGTAACTGGAGGTTGGTTTCAATAATTTTATCAACTTGGCCTTTCATAATATAATTAAATAAATTTGAGTACAGAGAAATTTTTCCAAATTTTGGTGTAAAGAAATACAATCAAAAAGAAAATACTATACATATCAGGAAAAGTATTTGTAACATATATGATTAGCAAAGAATTATTATGTATCAAATCCAAATGCTTTCCCTTATTTATAAAAGAAGACTAATAACTGATATAGGGAAATTTTTGTTTCGGTTCACAATTTTGGAGATTTCAGTCCATACTTGGTTGGCTCCATTCATCTGAGCCTTTGACAAGGCAGCCATCAAGATAAGTGGTGTGAATACAGCAAAGCCATTTACCTCATGGCCAAGAGAGAAAGGAGGGAGAGAGGGTCTGGTATACCAGAACTCCCTCCCAGGCCATCCCACCTCAGTGATCTGAAACTTCCTACTAGATCCTGCTATTTAAAATTTCATCACTTCCTGGTAACCTCAAGCAAGAGATGAAGACTTTGATACATGGGCCTTTTACAAAATTCTAGATTCAAACAGTATACACTGAACAGCTTTTAAGAAGTTTTATTATGTCTCTTCAGCTTACAGACAAGGAAATTAAAGGAAAGGACAGTTAAAAAATAAACGTAAGTTAGCACAGTTTGACGTGCTTCACTACTCGTTCACCACAGTTCTGTTTTCCAGATGTGATGTGCTTAGCAGAAACCCATGTGCGTTTGCCCCGCCGCTTCACAGTTGGATCATCCTCTCATTAGAGAGCTGGTGTACTTTTGCCCCACAGGTTTCTCCACGACTTCATTCATTCATTCTTACAGCTAAGTGGCCCATAAGAAAATAATTGTAAATTACCTGAGTGAGTTGAAGAAGGCATAGGAAATCCAGAAAGAAGAAGAGCAATGGAAGTTTGGATATTAGGAAATACTTGACTGAGTAAAATCAAGATGTGATTTGATGTTGGCATGTTGCAAGCAATGTCCAGGTTTAATCACTCATTCAGTGCCCTTTTCATTGTGGAATAGTATTGACTGAATAATACACAGTGGTACAGTTCAAGGGCTCTGAATTGTGTACCTAGAATTGAGTACTGTTTTAAAATTCCAGGAATGCTGAACAGGCAGAAATCTCATACAGCACGCAAAGTGCGCAAGAGAGTATAATGTGAAAGCAGATTATTGCATGTGTAATAGATAAAGGAATACAGAGTATAAGGTCTTCCTGGTAAGACAGCAGAGCAGAGAGAGTGTCCCTCATGTGATTCTCTGAATGAGAAGTATTAGCACAACACAGGAGAAAACTATGCTTTAGTGGGACACTGAGATGGAGATTTCTAGGAGTCAAGAAGGATGTGAAATTATAGCAGCAGAAAATGGCAGTGAGTGCCAGCAGCTCTGCTTCAGGAATAAAAAGGATAAAATCCAACTAAAAAAGAGAACTGTAGGCTAACTTCTTTAATGAACATAGGTTACAAAGATCCTTTCAGTGAGATTAGGTGCAAAAATCCTTAATAGGATATAAGAAAATAGAACGCAGCATAATCAAAAGGTGATATATCATGATCAAGCGGGTTTCAACTCAGAGATAAAAGGATGGCTCAACACACCTAAGTCAATAAATGAATAGCACATTATATAAATGGGAACAAGGTTAAAGTCTACATGATCATGGCAGGGAGCCATTGGGACTCTCCTGTGGGTAATGAGCATGAGCGGGGAGAAGCAGCAAACCCACCTGTGTGCATGCAGGCTGCCCTCAGGACTCTCCCACTGAGTAGCCAGTTGACGAGGAGAACCAGCCAGCCACTCCCTGAAGAAGCCAAGAGTGTCTGGGGAAGCCCACCTCACACCCCGCTGCCTTCCGAGGAACCTGAGTGAGGAGAAACCTAGGTGCCTGACCCATGCCCCTGCACTGCGGTGGGTAACCAAGGCGGGAGGCTCCTAGGATGCCACAACCTGGGCTGGAGGAATCCAGGAAAATACCAAGACGAAGCAGCAAAAGGCAATCTCTGGCCTCCAACTCAAACAGAGCAAGTCCAGGAGACATGGGCAGGGAAGAAAGAGGAAGACACACACCTGAAATTGCTGGGATGATGGAAATGAAGTAAAAAACTACTTCATGAGGCTGAAAAGAAATCAGATTAGAAATAGTATCTCAGGTAAAAAAAAAAGAAATGACAAATACAATAAAAGGGTCGCAGAGCACATCTAAAGAAGACAGATTTAAAAAACAGGAGCATAAGAGAATGAAGGAAACCTTGAATGAACAATATAGAGAAGAAACGGAATGCATGAAGGCTCAAAGAGATGTCCAGGAAAATTTAAAACTCCACTGAAAGCTGCAAAACCACGTGAAAGAAACTGAAGATTGACTTTCAGAACTTGAAGACACGATGAGAAGCTAGTTATTGTGAAAGGAAATATCTCTTAAAAATAACAAGAAACCAGAAAACAATAATGCAATGGGGGAAAGACAATGCAAAGAAAAATAATTTAAGAATGATAAGTGCCAGCAAAGAAGCAGAAGTCAACATAAATGACATAGAGAATATTTTTTTATTTTTTAAAAAAGGTTAAGATAAAAGAGGACATAACAACACAGGTCAGAACAGAACAATTTAAGTAACATAGTGTTTCACCACAAGATAACCCGACCTGACAGTGATTAACATAGTGTCTCTTTCCTTGAAATATTTCAGTATACCTTCATATACTATAGCATCAAACATAACAAGGCAGTGTAAAACCATTCAAGAGGATGAAAGTACTACAGGGTATTTAGAAATAACTAACAGAAAATGAACAATTGTTTCTATATTATCTACTTGTCTATAAAAATTTTGTTTATACTATCACATATAATAAAATCCAGTAAGATACAACATGATAAAACCAATGGAGACAGAGGAACAAAAGCTTGATGGGATTTCAAAACAAGATGATATTAAATTGGCACTAGCTATTATAATGTCTTGTTTTCTTCAAAATAG